CTAACATTGAGGATTCCTCAACATTCTTTGCTGATGAGTCAGGGAGGATTTCTTTCTCTTCCATTCTTGCCAGATCCTCTTCTTTCCTGGGAAATATATGAAAGTTGATGTAACAGTTGTAATTTTAATGCAAGTGATTTATTATAGTATTCGAAGAAATACTATAATAAATTAGTGCAGGATAGAAAATGATGTCATTTGCTAAATAATAGCAGGGAGAAGTAAACCGTTCCATGTGGAAGTAAGTCCAGGGAGAAGTTATTTCCTGAGAGAGAAACATAATCTGAAGTGAGGGAGTTTAGATCTGGATTTGTACATCTTGTTGATATATTCTTTGTTTTGATTGATCATATGCCATCAAGTCATTTTCAACTCTGAGCAACCACATAGATTTCCTCCACGATGATCTGTCCATAATTTGGTCTTCTAAGGGTGCCATCAGCACTGTGACTGTGGAGTCCATCCACCTTGCTATTGGCCATCCTTTTCTTCTCTTTCCTTCCGCCTTTTCCAGAATTAGACTGTTTCCTAGAAAGGTTTTTCCATTCTTTGTTATCCTGAGTTTATTGACTAATCAATTAATGGAATTGCACAAGAAGTGAGCAAAAAATCTAGCAGCTCTGAGTTTTAGTACGCATGAAGGATTCAGAGAGTATGTGAGCAAAGGAGAGTTTGACACTGTGTGGGAAAAGTAGCTCACAAAATCACACCTGGACAAAAATCAAGAATTTTGCTTATTTAACTGTGTGCTTAGATTTAATTCAGGATTAGTAACCCAGACATTGCTAAGTTTCAAGAAAAGTAATTCTTCAGCCAGAAAGTCACACTGGTAGCATTGTCTGTGGGAGGAATAAAAACAGAGAAGATGGTGGAATTGGCATTGCAATTGTATTGGCCTTGCTCTCTGTATAAAAGGAGCTTCCTGCCATCTTGCCTTTTTTGACCCTCGCCCCCTCTTTCACAGATGCCACTGCACACTGACTGAAGAGGAAAAAATAAAATAATAACTGTGACATTTAAGATCACACTGTAAATTGGCGTACCATCCTATAACTCAGTAGGACAGATAGTCCTCAACTTACAACAGTTCATTTAGTCACCGTTCAGTTAGTACTAAAAAAGTGACTTATGGCCATTTTTCACACTTATGAGCATTGCAGCTTCCCCATGGTCACATGATCAAAATTCAGATGCTTGGCAGTTGGGTCATATTTATGACAGTTGCAATATCCTGGGGTCATGTGATCACCTTTTGTGACCTTCTGACAAGCAATGTCAATGGGGAAATCAGATTCACTTAAAAATCGTGTTACTAATTTAAGAACTGCAGTGATTCATTTAACAACTATGGCAAGAAAGATTGTAAAAATGGGGCAAAATTCACTTTAAACTGTCTCACTTAGCAGCAGAAATTTTGGGCTCAATTGTGGTCATACGTTGAGGACTACCTATACTTCCAAGACAAGCAAGCCTTGTAATAAAATAGTTTATTTCTCTTAATCCTTTGTCAGCTCATGTATTCTGATGAATAACTCTAAATTGCTAGTGTCAGTGGAAAACTAGTGTCAGGTTAATTTTTGATTGGAGCTCCCCAGAGTTGGTTGAAAGATCAGTAGTTATGTACTATAAACGTTTCAAATAAACAAACAAATAAATAAATAAAGTAACAGCCACCGCTCTTACATTGCAGCAGGCAGTGACTATGATCTGTACTCAAACAGATTGAGTAATACGCCCCTTGAATCTATGTTGTTTCTGATGAAAGAGTTATAGATGTGAATGCTCTAAACCAGGGGTGTCAAACTCGCTATGTCACGTGACGTGTCGCGACGTATCGTGACTTTTTTTCCATTGCCGGCAATGAGGTGGGCGTGGTTTTGCCATGACGCATCCGGCCCACGGGCCGGCAGTTTGACACCCCTGCTCTAAACTCATCTGAATCCCAAGAACCACAGCATTCTTAATGAAGCTGACATTTTGAATTGGTGCAGATATTTAAAGAATAGTATGAACCCTGCTTGAAATAACATTTTATTCCATAATTATTCCCTCAAAACATTTCTCAGCTTTGTTCCTAGCCCACTTGTGCTTCCCACGCTTCATATCCTTTCCCAAATTTAACCATGCTAAGATTTCTTCTGTCTCCAAGGAGAAAAGGAAGGAAAGAAGGATTTATACTTTTGTAGCTCTTAAAGGGGCTTGAGGTTAAGGAAATTCCAAGAAGGTCAAGAAAATCCTGTCTAATTCTTTTTCTCTTTCTTCTTTCCTTTCTCTTTCCCACCCAATGTCTTAACCAAAAATAGAACATTCCCTGTCTGCCTTACAGAATGATGCTGACTGGGGAGCAATTGATAATGTTAACATTTCAGTGCAGGTTAATTAATATTTCCTGACCTGGCAATTAAATATAAACCTTTACAAGATAAACAATTTTTCTAATACATTTCAGTGACCCAAAATTTTATAAGTAAGATGATGGAAGCATTAAGAATGGATCACATTGTTCAACTATTTCTCCTATTAGCAAAACCCAGAAAGGATAAATATAGAGGAACATTCAAAAGTCAATGATGCAACCTTCTTATTCAATCTTTGACCGCAAAGTTACAACATTTTGAGGCCTTGGGGGATTTCTGCAAGTTGGAGTAATAGTACTACTCTATGCTAATCATCTTGCTGGAAAGAATAAAATTTCTTGTAAATTTCTGCTTCTTCCGTCTACCCTGGCTTTCAGGCACCATTATGATGATGCAACCGCTAGATAATGTCCATTGACCTCTATTTTAAAACATGTATGTATGTGTGTGTGTGTGTATATGTATTTATAAAAAATGAAAAGTTTAAGACAGTCCAGAGAATTACTAAAGCCCATAAGATATCTTTTCTATGAGCTCTCATGCAATTTCAGCCATTTTTATTCTAAATTTATAACCATTTTTTTTTTACATCTGCAACATTGCGCAAAACTGCTTTGATGCCCACTGCCAGAAAAACTTGCTGATCTATATGTTTTGTGTAGAAAGGACATAGTACCGTCCTCTAGATGAAAGGGGATAAAAAATAGCAAGAGCCTGTGACTGTTTTTTTCTGGTTTTTAAAAATGTGCTTACTTTAATTATATATGTAGAAAGGCCATCATTAGGAAGTCTTCCAAACTTTTTCCTAGAGTTCAACTCTGGTGATAACAGAAGAGAAATCAGTGAGGTGAATTCCAGAAGTTATATGTGATGTGGGATTATAGAAATGCTGGTAATTATTTATAAAATTTATAGGCTGCCCATCTTACCTCAAGGTAATTCAAGATATGGTTCAAGAATAAAAAGGGAGGTAGGGAATGGAAGGAATAGAATGGTAACTACGAGAGAGAGAGAGAGAGAGAGAGAGAGAGAGAGAGAGAGAGAGAGAGAGAGAGGAGCAAGTCATAAGTCTATGTTTTTCTTTTCTTTTTTTATACTTTCCTTTGATTCTTTATACTTTTATTGTATTTAAAATTCTAATGAAAAATAAAAAGAAATGCAGGTATGAGTGAAACCTCCCTGGATCAAAGTATGGGTCAATCTTTTTAGTTAAGAAGATTGGAGAAGAAAAGTGACATTGTACAACTCTTGCTTCAGCCCCTCCAAAAGAGACAAACAGGAGTGGTGCTGAGAGAAACTGTTCCTGGGTGTTATTTCAAGGGAATCAAAAGTTCAAGCAATGACGAATTTCAGTGCCAGATGGAAAAATTATTCCTGTCAGCTTTTCTCTTTTAATCAATTGCTCAACTGGGTGGAGGCTTATGTTGCAAAGTGGTTTTCAAAACTGAGATGACACCATAGGACAGAAAGTGCAAACAGAATAATCCCAGAAAATGAAAGAGAATCTGTTTTTCCACTCATCCCAGAAAAAAGTAGCAGTAATACCAGCCTTTGGTTTTGCAGTATTTGTTAGATCAGATATGGTCATTGACATCCTTTGATCCAACTTGTATAGCCAAGATAGATTTTTGTAACAGTCAGTTGGGAAATTATCAAGTATGGGAGGAAAAGGAGCATTATTAAATACAGAGAGAATAAAGGCATTAGCTGTGTTTACTTTTAATTAAAATGAACATTAATCCAATTTTGTTTTTATCTCTGCTCAATTCCAAGTCAGGGTTCCTCATCAGATAAAAGGGAAAATGTAGCTTTGATTCCCAAATTTTTGCACAGATCTGCTTTAATGTACCTTCTAATTAAATATGAATTAACAATAATTTCTTCCTGAGGAAAATGTGAGAATTTCCTTTTACAGTTATATTTTTTTATAAATCTGTAATATATTTATTTGTATTATTGTAATTATTGTTATTTTTTAAAATTTAAGTTGCTCAGAGTCACTTGGTCACCTTCTTAGAAATCAATGTCCACTAGGAAAGCTGATATAAACAGGTTTAGTAAATGAGATAAATGAAAGTTTGGTAGGAAAGGAGATTTGCTTAAGAAGCCAAAGAAAAGAAAATACAAAGAGGTACAACTCCAACTGAGCCTCAAATTTCTGTTGCTAAGCAAGACAGTTGTTAAGTGAATTGCACCAGATTTTGCGACCTTTCTTTGTCACAATTATTATGCAAATCACCGAATTTTTAAAATCATGCAGTTGTTAAACAAACCTGGTTTCCCCTCCCCCATTGACTTTGCTTGTTGGAAGCCAGCTGGGAAGATTATAAATGGGACGCTGCAACTGTCATAAACATAGGCCAGATACCAAATTTTGATCACATGACCATGAGGATGCTGCAGCAGTCTTAAGTGTGGAAACCGGTCATAAGTCACTTTTTTTCAATGCCTTTGTAACTTTGAATGGTCACTAAATGAATGGTTGTAAGTCAAGGACTACCTGTACAACTGTTGGAATTTTAGTCAGTTGCTGTGTGAGACTAGTTTACCCACTACTAATGGTAGGTGTAATAATTATGATCAAGGATGTTGCTCCTCCACATAATTAACTGTCGCAAACCTTTATTTTATTTCATTTGCCAGCCAGAAAGGCCTCCCTTTCTTCCTGTATCTTGCTCTGGCTCATATGCACGTGCCTTTGGTCTTGTCTGAGGCACCTTGGAATCAATCTTGCCAAGATCCCTATGGAACATACTTGAAGGAAATGGATGCTTTGGTGGGACGGGTCAAGGATGCAGTTGACAGCACAGGAAAGGAAGATACATTCCTCTGGTTTACAGGTGAAGTAATAAAGCCCCTCATGGCAATACAGGTGGCACAGAGATGTCATTTTGGTGGGGACATATTCCGAAAACTTGCTGGATACAATGGGGCTAATAGCATGAATCAGCCTGGTAAATTAAATAATGAAGTATGTTAAATGTCTCAGGTGTGGTGGCTAGGGACTCGGATCCAGTGCAGGAAACAAACATCCCTGATGGATAGCTGTCAAGTCTCTGCTTGAATACACCAGGCCCACATGCCACCATCCCTACCTGAAAAAATGCCACACTTATACAATCTCTGTAACACTATTTTAAAAGGAAGATCTATCCCTCATTCTTGATTTAAATCTAAAATATTACCTATCCCCAACCAGAAAGAGATGTTGTAACAATTTCATATGACAGCCCTATTTGAGTATTGAATATTATGAGCTGCTAGATTACATAAGTTGTTGTTGTTGGAAGGGACCTTGGAGGTCATCTAGTCCAACCCCCTGCCCAGGCAGGAAATCCTATACCATTTCAGACAAATGGCTGTCCAATCTCTTCTTAAAGACTTCCAGTGTTGGAGCATTCACAGCTTCTGGAGGCAGATTGTTCCACTGATTAATTGTTCTAAATGTCAGGAAGTTTCTCCTTAGTTCTAGATTGCTTCTCTCTTTGGCTAGTTTCCATCCATTGCTTCTTGTCTTGCCTTCAGGTGCTTTGGAGAATAGCTTGACTCCCTCTTCTTTGTGGCAGCCCCTGAGACATTGGAACACTGCTATCATTCCCCCCCTCGTCCTTCTCTTCATTAAACTAGACATACCCAATTCCAGCAACCGTTCCTTGTATGTTTTAGCCTCCGGTCCCGTAATCATCTTTGTTGCTCTTCTCTGTACTGTTTCTAGAGTCTCAACATCTTTTTTACATCGTGGTGACCAAAACTGGATGCCATATTCCAAGTGTGGCCTTATCAAGGCATTGTAAAGTGGTATTAACACTTCACGTGATCTTGATTCTATCCCTCTATTAATGCAGCCTAGCACTGTGTTGGCTTTTTTGGCAGCTACAGCACACTGCTGGCTCATATTTAAGTGATTGTCCACTAGGACTCCGAGATCCCTCTCACAGTTACTACTATTGAGCAAGGTACCTCCTAAACTCTACCTGTGCATTTGGTTTTTCTTGCCTAAATGTAGAACCTTACTTTTTTCACCATTGAATTTCATTTTGTTAGAAAGTGCGCAATGTTCAAGTCTGTCAAGATCCTTCTGTAAGCCTATCTTCTGGAGTATTGGCTATTCCTGCCAGCTTGGTGTCATCTGCAAATTTGATGAGTTCCCCATCTATCCCCTCATCCAAATCGTTGATGAAGATGTTGAAGAGCACTGGGCCCAGAACAGAGCCCTGGGGCACCCCACTACACACTTCCCTCCATGTGGATGCAGTTCCATTGAGAACCACATGCTGAGTATGGCCGGTCAGCCAATTATGAATCCATCTGGTGGTGATGCTGTCTAACCCACATTTTTCTATCTTATCAAGCAGTAATACATGCCTATCGGGTTTCTGCTAGACTAGAATGGCTATTTTAGTTTAAGATGTTAGAAAAATATAAATTGGAAATTGAATTAATTAATAGACTTACATTTTAAATCTCTTGCATGGCTAGGTTTAATGATTTGAATTTATAATCCTAATAGGAGGGCTTCAGGATAGGCATCCAACATATTCTGTAGTACAGACAGATTCTTCCTGCAGAATATAGTCCCAAAATAATAAAAGTCTTTATTTAAAATTAATTAGCAATAGCATTTTAATGGAAAACGAGAATGCCGTGGGAGAAGGGGAACTATCAGTACCCAAAATTTTATGCAGCCTGGGTTCATGGCAATTTGGACATGCAAAGCTAAGGTTGCAAGCCAGGTTCTCTCTAATCCCTGCAGTCTAGCTCATGGCTCTTAAAATAAAGGGCTTGCTGACTAGTGGTTACTGTGCATACTGTACTCTAAAGAAAGATGCAGCAGATTCATGGAGACCTTCATGGAGACCTTCAGTCTTGGCTGAAAGTCCTCAGAGAACCAAAAATTTTATGGAACAGATTTCCCTGACTGGCCCTAGGACTCCAACCCTGTGCCTCTAATGACCTAGGAGAATTAAAAACAATAAAAGTATAGAGGTATCAGCACCCCTCTTACTTATTTTCAGTGCTGCTTTTATTCTGCTGCTAGCTTTATTTTCTTCCTTTGTCTACCCCCCCCTTGTTTTTTTGTTTGCTCAGAGCGTTTAGAAGTTAATGATGGTTAGCTTCTGTACGCAGAACTCAGTCTTGTGTTTTATCAAAAACAGATCATGCCAGACAAACCTTATTACATTCTTTGACCAAGTGACAAAATTAGTGGATCAGAGGAATGCTGTGGATATAATTTACTTGGACTTCAGTAAGGCATTTGATAAAGTAGATCACAACCTACTACTCGATAAGATAGAAAAATATGGGTTAGACAGCATCACCACCAGATGGATCCGTAGCTGGCT